GAAAAAATATAGAAATAAACTATATAAAAAATAAGCTCTAATAGAATAAGCCTTTCTACATCGGAGATAAAATAAGCCGATACAGGTAGGCACGGGATAAGTTCATTTCGGCCGATACTATCATAATCGGACGGGCTCTACAGTATATCCAGGAATATTCTCCTCTGCTTCTCAGACTAGTCTCACCAACATGCTTCAGGGATCTTAGCTTTATTAAATAAACACAAACATGTTGCACACAACATTATCATCCACATCAGAGTTTAGAGAGTCACTAATGATTGCATGGCTGGATTTGATTTCTCACAGGAATATCTGACCAGAAGATTTGCTAAAGTAGAATCAAAGGCAGATTTCAAATGCAAATGTAGTTTTTGTTTAATGTGAGTTGATGTTGTGAAGATGTTAAGCAGTTAGTTGCATATGTGTCTGTTGTAATCTGAAGAAATGCTTTGAATGGCTAAACTGCATTGTTAGGTGCCAGTCTGGAGGTTTTATCTCTGTCAGAGATGTTTTAATAAAATCTGACCTTTTTTATTAAACTTGTCACTGTCTATATTGTTTAATTTGTTGAAGTGAGTACCCTTTAAAGTGAATTAAATTTTCATTTTTCCTTTAATCGAAGCAAATAAATAATCTGATATACTGAATAAATCTACAGTGCAGTTTTTCTACATTTGTTCTCATGCTCTCTCATTTCTCCTCAACCTCCCCCATCCTCCCTCCCTCTCTCTTTCCACATCTTGCATTTTCAGTGAGCCATCAGCAGGAGGATAATTGGTCAATCATGCTAATTGAAGAGTTTGGACAGCAAGCCCACCATAGCAGATGTGCCAATTTGCATTCATTACGAAAGAAATGAGTCTTAATCACTGCTCGGCCTTTGATTGACAACATAAACATCCCCTGTCTGAATCTACCTTTGACTACCATTCAGTTCCAAAAAGAAACCATAAGGTACCATTCCATAACTTGTAATATTATTTTTCTCAAAGTAGGCACTGCACCTTTAGGCATTGTTATCTCCGTCTGTTAAAGTGAAATGAGGAAAATGAAAGCCTCACTGTGATTGTTTAAAAAGCTTTTCTCAGAGGAAAATCGGCAAAGGGCAGCTGCTCGGCTTGGCATTCAGTTTGGGTCGAAATTTTCATATCTTATTGAATTATTAATATGATCAATTTATAACAACAAATGATAGTGATCATGAAATAAAACTAATGGAAATGACCTGATAATTTTATGCTTTTTTCCTCCCACTGAGGGTCCTTCATACACAGAGAGTAAATAGTCTGTTTATCCTGACAAAGGCCCTCCCTCTTGATTATGAGGACGATAAGCAGCATATGAATGAACGCTGGTTGTTTACTCTCACAAATCATCAGGGGAAAAGACATTTGAGGAGCAGTGAAAAGGCAAAGCTTTACCCATTGTGCAGTCCATTTTTTAAATTACAAAGCAACGGTTTTTCACTCAATCGCGTCTTGAAATTTGGTTAAAGACAAATCACAGCCTTGATTTCATTACGATTTAAGTGTTGACTTTATGTCAATAGCGTGTGCCTGCAGACCTGAAGACGGTTAAATGCTAAACGATGCCTGTGAAGTTAAGAGTGTCATTTTAGGGTTTCTCCATAGAGACACAGTGATGGTTCTGTGTGCTTGAGAACAGTGTGAGGTTATCGTGTAGCATGAACAAAATCTCATTAGCTCCAATAGCGGAGAGGGAAGGAAGAGTAAATATTATTAGATTAATCTAATGACTAACAGCAGCATTTTCATTTGGGGTAAACAAAATCCAATACCTAGCACAATAGGAACAACAACACAACACATTCAGGCATGAGTACTCCACTGGGTTATAATAACAAGAATATATTAAATACCATATTATTTGCAAGTTAATGAGAATTTGATCTGGAGAAGGAGGTAGGGACAAGTCCAGAATTTTGACTGAGGTGGCCAATGCAACTTAGAAAGTGGTGGTATTTGCATGAGCACACACACACACACACACACACACACACACACACACACGCACAGCCTACAATAACCTGTTTCATTTATTAACCCTTCTGCTCCACTCTCCAAAGTCATGATTCAGAGAATATAAAAAATTGTCTAACTTGCAAAAATACATTGAATGGGATTGTTTCAAATGGAAATGGAAATGAGTCCAGACACGTTTCCCTGCTTCTCACCTCGTCTTATCAAAAAAATCTGCAAAGTATGTACTTGTTTAGAAACAAAAAGTACTACTACACTCCCTAAAGTGTGTCAGCAGCCTGTTGCAACACATCCCAAATATTTGATTCTAACACAAGTCCTCTGACAAAGCAAATAAACACCCAGTCATAGTTTGAGATTTTGGGATGGCCAGCCCATTTTCTGGTGAAATTACATCATAAGAATAAAGATACAGCAAACGTGGCCCTCAAAGAAGAAGATCTGTATTCTGTGGAAACCTGTTTTTCCTTTAGTCTGAATCGCAGCAAAGGAGAATGAGCACAATCATTCTATACTGTTTTTAATTATCAGAATGGTTTTTACATTTATTTTTTTTAGTTAACAACAGCATCTAAATGATTTTTTTTTTATTTTTAAGACTGTTTACAAATGTCTTTTTCACATTTTGTTTGTGTGTCATACACTACAGTAGATTACACAGCTACATGTGTGCAGATTGCCTACAACAGTTCACCTGCTGCCTGGAGTGTTGGTAAGATGAAAACCGTCGACGCATGCAAACACTCACAAACACACACACACCCACTGAATATCGGAGCTCACAGTTCTGCTTTGGACTACGAGCCAAGTTTGAGACAAAGTCCATAGCCCTCCACTGGGTTATCAAACTGTGTCCCAGGCATGCATCCATCTGTGGAAAACATGGAGACTGTTCTCCCACACTGCAGAGCTCGGCCTTTATCTACAGATGGTACTACTGAGCAGGAATGTGACCTTTGATTTAGTATCTCTCACGGAACAAGCTTCACAAACGAAAAAAGTAGGAGAGGGTTTCTCTGGCCTCCCAAAGTAGACAAATGAGCACATGGTTGTTTACATGGCAACGATTGCTTTAACACAATTTAATAACTTGGATAAGTGTCCACAGTAACCGTCCTCATGTGCGGCCCATTTCACTTAATTAAGGGCGGTGGGTTGGATTCTTCCCATCAACAAAATTGCATCAGCTCCTTCATTTAGTTTACAAGACTGCTGTAAAATAGCAAAAAGACAAGAAAAAGGTTTGAATTTCTCTTAATGTACGTCGTATCTTTTTCCGGATAATAAACTAACTCTGACGTCGGTTTCTAGTGATTAGTTGGGTCGTGTGGAGATGCTGTGAAGTGGACTGGCTTGGTTACTTCTGCTCCGTTTCTTCAGTTCTGAACCTTGAACATGTAGCCAGCAGGCAGAGGGGGGGTTTGTGCATATCTGCAAAGATGCTGGCCGAGTGAGCGTGGACAACAGCGGCTTGTTCTCGCCTTTTGTGCAGAAAGGGGAAGCTTCCTTGAGAGTGGTACACAGAGGGGCTGCATAGGAAAAAGCAGCAAAGGGATCACTGGTGCTACATTACGCAAAACGCACATTCAAATAAAATAAAGCGGCCAATGTAAACTTACTCCGCAGATACATGGGACATAACAGCCTGCAGGAGGAGTAACCCCCATTTGATTCAGAGTATGGGACGTTATTTTGTTTGCTTGTTTCAATTAAGACAGCTTCCAGAGTCGAGGGGAAAAACAAATTTGTGGTCACTGTTACGTAAGGAAGGAATGCATCCATGTATTTTTTATGTAGGTGAGCCCCTGCTCAGCTCGGAAGGGGCCCCTGATGGAGAAGTGACTGCATGAGTCTACTGGATGCCAGAGCACTCTTTCTGCAGCTCTGCCAAGCAGGTAATTCACAAGCAGCAGCGGCATGAATAAAAGATAATGGGCCACAGCTGACTCCTTTATGCTGCATGTAATTTCACTAATTTCTCCAAGTGAAAGTCTCTCCAAAGCAAAGGAATCTTGAAAATGTGCAAATCTAACCCGTCTTGAACACTTGATTTCTTTTAATTGAACAGCAGCGATAAAAAAAAAATTCAGCGGGGCGGTGGCAATAAAAGTATTACAATATAGAAGGCTGCATTGTTTTTGAAAAAGACATTAAAGCATGAAAAGAGAGTCTACGTGTTTAACGAACTAAAAGCCACACAAAGCAGTGTCAAGATATGAGGGAAGGCCATTAAAGGGAATTAACAAACATTGTATATGCTTTATATTCGTCAGACTGAAGATATCAGACTCTATACGTAGATCTTGTAAAGACAGAGAAGCCGATGAAAGACATTCAGAACAGGATGTATCCCTAATCATTCTCATTTACTTTGGCTTTTTTCACTTTTGGCTGACAGTTTTTGTGCACTAGCATAGCAAGTGGCTTAATCTTCCGCTAGTCGCCAGGCATGCACGGGCTGCCAAGAAACCCCAAGAGCTCATTGAGTCTTATAGAGCGTTAAGGAATGTATGAAACACTGTATTTTCACCGCAGCAGTAGTCGAGCTGTTGGTCTGTGATGAGGAGCAGCAAGAGCCCTACAGGTACAATATCTCTAGGAAACACAAGCAGCAGTGGTGGTCAGCAGCTAGAGTGTGCAACGATGTTTTCCATGTCAGTTGACGGGCGCAAGAGAAGCTGAACTTATCAGGGAGAGCAGACCTCCTGTGTCCTATCTGCATGGTTACGAGAAGGAAACTGTTACTTGTGCATGCCTCTCGTTTATTTAAAGACTCGCCCTTGGAGCAAAGCTTTTGAAGCCTACAGTTGTCACAAAAATATATATTTCATAGTCTAAATCCTGTGCTAAAATAATCTATCTAACCAAAATCTGATGAATAAGGACACTGAATTTGTAAAACCAAACATAAAGAAGAAAAAATAATCACAGCGAGGGGAAAAGGCCTGCTGTCAAAGAGCTCTTTCCTCATGAAGTAACGAGACGACACTCACTCACCTCTACGATGTCAGAGTTGGTTCTGCTCTCGTGAGGTTCGTTGTACTCTGTGTATTTCAGCAACACTTTGTCCATGTCTGTGCTGGCGTACTGGAACAGTTTGTTAGAGCTGTTGAAAATGATGAGGGCTATCTCGCAGTCGCATAGCACGCTCAGCTCGTAGGCCTTTTTCATCAGGCCGAACTTCCTCTTTGTGAAGGTAACCTGAGGGGACACACAGGCAACAAAAACTATGCATTACACAGGAAAAAAACAGTTTATGTTTTTAATTAAAGAGAGGATCAAAGACAAGTAAGGTAAATGAGAAACTGTACATCAACATGCTATTTGCAAAAACAGTAAACTCTAGGTGAGCCTTTGGTAGTTTATTTCTCCACTAGGCCTATGTTTATTGTACAACCATATTAGTCAGTGGATGAAGTATTTAGAAATAGTTCCATCTGGTGAGTGCAATGTAGGTTAAGCAAGGTATAAAAGCAGTGTTAACAGTCTCATTAATTGAGAACATTGTCACTGTAACCAAGGTGACAGATAACGAGATCATCCCTCCTTTAGGAATGATCGCAATGACATTGTGCACGTCTGAAATGTCTAGTTATCAGGACAGAGGTCAGGGTTAAAAGGCACGAGTCAGCCCGCTGAGTCAGAGCTTTGGCAACAACAGGGGTCCATACATTACCGTAGCCCCTGACTCCATATACGGAAAAGCTATCTGTGTATTGCAGCATAAGCCTTGTAACATGAGCCCTCAGATGGGACTTAGGGTCATACATCACTCCGATGGTAACGCAACCCCTCTCTGCAAAGTGACTTTCTGTCCGGTATCTCTGCAGCTCTGTCTCTGTGGTTGCTTTAGACTCATGCACACACACATGTCATTATGTTACACCACCTCTTTACAGCACACGCTATACGGTCATTTCTCAAGCCGAAAACATCAGTCACAAGAAGGAAGGACAGAAATAAAGGTGTTTTCTCCTTTGGCTTTCTAATGATTGTTTGCCTAGAATAGTAAATCGTGGCTTCAGATTCATGCGGTCCTTAAGTGCATGTGTCTTGTCAAATGTGTGTTAAACAATGTGGCTGCGAGTAAAAGCTATGCTCAGAGCCCCAAAGGAGTGCATGAGCCTGTATTCTTCATCAGTTTCTCTGACCTACTAAGAGAGGAGTCGAGCAGATGAGCTGGCTTTGTTCAACTTTAATTGGTCACAGCTTGCGGCTATACCCTCGTTTGACTGCTATAATGCAGCATAATTCTATGTGTTCCATAGTGTCAATGAAGCCGCCGAGGCAAGTCAGGTTACTCCAGCTATGATAAATACATTTCAAATGTTTCAAACTACAGGTAATTACACAGAACCATTATTCCTACGGTAGACACTAAGGAGCCTGCTGTCATGTTGTTTTCTATTCAATGCAGCCGTTTACTCGAGCCCAGATAAAAAAACAAAACATGAAATGTCCTTTATTGAAATGACAAGGTGCAGGAGAATGTGTTTCCATCCACACACAGACATTCTTAAAGAATCATGTGGTTTAATGGGTGTCATTTTGGTGAGTTTCTAAAAGGTAGGTCTTCATAATGTCCATTCCTACCCACTGTAAGCACCTGCAGAATCCCTCCGTTTACCTGCATGCAAATTTTGTTTGTTTGCCTAACCAACCGGAAAGCAGGAACAATCACGAGGGGAAAATGATTAACAAATTGTATGCTCTTTAGCAGATGAATGTGGTTGTTAAGCCATGTAGATGTCACCTTACAGCAGGAAGCCCGCTGGATGAGACGCTGAGCGAGGTTTTTGTTCCAGCTGGATGCATGGCAGAGTGCTGAGTGCGGGGCTGCTGACCCAGCCACAGCTTCATTTCAGCCTCAGCTGCAGCACTGAGACTCGCTTCTTGCCCTGGCTCCTGAACACAGTAACTCTACGATAGCCAGCCGCTGCTCCCACTTACAATAAAAAGGTGACAACTATATTATTTTTCTTAATCTGCAAAGTTACTTTTAAAGGGAAAGAACTAGGCTATTTTGTGCATTTTTTTCCCCTTTCATTAGAAAAGTGAAGAGTTCAGCTTAGTTCACTTGGAAAGTCACGACACAAACATTTCAGAGCATGAAGCCCAATATATACAAAGATATCTTCTCTGGTTGATGGTGAGACGGTGGAAAACCACAGCAATCCTTGAGGTCAAGTGGGAGGTTTCAGTGACAGAGCTTTCCAAGTCAAAAACACCCACAAAGACACTCAATGTGGTCTTAAAAATGTCAGCCCCTCCTATAGAAAATGTGGTACACATGTAGTCTAGGTGCATTATTAGTTCATGTATTACCCAAATGTAAGTTTTAGCATCAGGATTGTAAAGCTATGTTGTACCAGGTTCAAGATCTTTTAGTGGCACATAAAAGAAAATCAGAAAATCAACTGTTAGGGTGAGAGAAGTGAGGTCTTCCAGCTTTCTCTGCTTTTGATAACAGCTCACACAAAGCCAGATAAATCAGTGACTAAACTAGAATTTCATTTAGACTGTGCCATGCTGAAAAGCCTGACCTTCTAGGAAGCCCTCACAATGTCACTCTCAATTCACACCTGCTGTATTTCCAACTTCTTCTCAAAGGCCTCGCTGACATTACCTGTTATTCAGTGTGTCTGCCATAGAAAGACCCACAGAGTATAATAACACACTCCTCAACGAACCCCCACTCACACTCGCACAACGAGCAGAAGTGTCAATCACGAGGTCTATCAATGTCTGTCCGCAGGCAGAGGTGCCAAGACGACAAACAAGACATCTGGGACTCAGAGTGCAGCTGTGACTGGTTCATGGCAGGAGATGCCTGAGTCACTAACACCTTCAGAGGGGTGAGGAGCTGGCGGCCTTATTAGAACCTCATGTCACCTCAGACGACCCCCGTGGCAGACATGAGAGCGGGATGGACAGTCACAGAGGTCTGGCACCAGCTGGCAGAGTGACCCAGGCCCTGTGGCTGCTGCCCTGGCTATGTAGTGCCAGAGTGTGCAGGCCTGGGAGACAGGCCGAGGCCAGCTCGACTGTCTGCGTGGATCAGTTCTCACTGGGAGAGAGGACGGCCCCAGGATCCCTATTTGGACAACTGAGGGCGCAGAGGCCTCATCCACTGAGTGGGATTGACCTTGAAACCTTCAGTAGCCCGTGACTGATCCTGTTTAGTGGGGAGAGTGACATGCTAGTTAGGAAAACAAAGCTACGTCTCCATTGAAATCTGTGTTTTCAAAAACAAGGATGATCCAAACTAAGGACATGTGGCTTGTTCAGCTGTATGAAAACTGTAATTACCACAGGAGACTGTTGTGTTGACAACAGTGTAAAAACTCCAAAAGGCAAGGTAAGGCAAATTGTAGTGTGGCATTAAGCTGAACACCTTTTCTGTAACAAAGATTCAAACTTTAACTTCATGTTTAGCTGCTTCAGCGCAGTTTAATGCCAACTACATATTATACTGAACAATCATAACACATGCACATTCTGTCACATCGAAACAATGTTCCTCTGTTCTGTTCATGGTCTATAAACGAGCTCTTTACCTGTCAAAAAAAATAATGACAACCGCTCAAATCTTCGGGATTGGGTGAAGGCTGAATTATGGGAAGGTGTCGCTCCCTGGAGAGAAGGCGAGACAGAGAGCTGCTCCGTGCCTACAGGCAACTCAAGTGCCAGAGCTTAGAAAAAAATCCAAAAATGAGCCACAGCAAGGGCAGGCAATCCTCCACCAAGCAGCAAAATCATCAAACTTTTAATGACTTGGGCAATTACCCCCAGTGTGCCCGCCTAATGGCATCCAGGGGACGTCACTAGACACTGCTCACTGGGCTACAACAGCTGCTTCATACAATAACTTACAGGGGCTAATGTGTACGCTCCCCTTTCCACCATATTTCTCCGAGTAGATCTTTGCACAGCATGACAGTTCCTCTGACAAGTTTTGACGCTTTGCAAAAACTCCTGAAAACTTCCTGAAAATTTCCGGGGCGAGCTGCATGTGCGAACGCAAACAGACAAGGTTTCGCATCAAAAGATAATGCCATTGCCTCTAAAGCTTTGAATAAGGAAGATCTAACTGGGCTGGGCTGTCTGTTTTTTCTTCTTCTCAGGAGCCCGTTTGCTATCAGCATGTCAGTCCTGATGACTGTTCGGCTGTGTTGTAGAACCATCATAACTAATGCAGGGCATCGCAAAGGAACACTCTCTTCACCATCCTACAGTATGCATGACAGGACCTCTGCTGCCTTCATGTCTCATCCTGTACACTTTCACAAAGCAGAGACACACACTTCTGTGCAAGCATAAAGCTGCACTTAATGCTGATGTATCAACAGTTCGGACACATTTTATGTAATTTTCCCTCGTGCACTTTATTAGTCTAATCTGTGAAAATGTGTCAATAACACACTGCACTAATGACTTAGCGCTAAATTTTATAAAACTATAAGCCAAGCTCACTTCCTGTCTCTTCTCTGCACTCACAGGTCCTGATAGATTGTGCAATTACAGACCCCCTCGGCCTTTGGCACGCTGTGTATTATAAATCCTCAAAGGTTAACAGCCCGCCTAAAGAACATGCAGTGATAATGCAAGGGAGCCCCAGTTGTCCCCACACAACATCCTTTATAGCAATCCACCTAATTAGTCCACTTAAGGAGTTCTCTTATTCTAATGCTATGAATATTGGTAGCTAGCAGCGGAGAGTGTGCAGATAAAGATTCAAATTGTCTCCCAACAACGGGGAGCGTATGCTAATGGCTATTCCCCCTTGGTTAGGAGCGTGCCCCAGGGAGAGATGGCACGACGCGCTTCATGGCCCAGGAAAAAAAAAAACCCGAGGAGGATATACACAGGCATCACTTTACACCAAAGCATTATTTTAGCATGGTGGCCTACTGTCAGAACCGATTTTTTGTGCTGAGCCAGCTATAACCAAACAAAATGCGAGCAGAAAAGCCTGTGCTCCGCTGATAAACTTTCTCACAAATTATTCAGTGAGACATTTAAAATCTGATGCAAACACTGAGGCTTCGGGAAGCACATTAATAACAAGCAACGTCTTTCTCTGGCGGCTACACTTTTCTGTGAAACAATAGAGTCAAATCCATTCACTCTCTCTCCCCCCCTCGATGAATAGAGAACGGATCATCTGAAGGTTAACTTGATCACACTTGAAACAGTTGACAACCTGTTTTCATAAAAATGTCCTCTCTTTTTCCCCTCCGATGTCAAAGGGTATTTGCACACCGTGCAGATACCAGCAGTAAGAAGTGAGGTTCTTCCGCTGCCCTCCAGTTTGGAGACCAACAAGAGCAAGGTGTTACACTGATAATTGCCCACAGTGTGGATTGTTGAATTGCACATGGCTGAAGTGTTAGTCTGACAGTTACAGGTAGATGCAGACAGCTAGTGCCATTTCGTGCTAACACAGCAAGAGGAAGTTCAGTAGCTACACAGTGCACAGCAAAATTAAAGTTGTTCCAAGCGTGGAAGGATGCAACTTGTATTTCAAAGGATTGTTAAGTAAATGTATTGCACTGATATATTGAGTACTAAATTCTTATTGGTCAATTGTAGCATTCTTAGTACGACCATTTTTCTATAGCGCAAAGCTGCTATGAAGATCAGACTTTAGAAATATTAACCAGCAGAAACAGTCCAGTAACAACAGAAGATCTAAGGGACTTTTTGGTGGAATTAATACAATCCTTTTTCATTTAGTAAAATCATATCCAAATCTAGATTTTGTGTCAAGAAGTTGATTTATATTGTTGCAGTGCAATTCACAGGATAAGATACAGTTAGCAGGTTACATTTTACTGTAAATAATCCATTACTTCTACAATTCTACAATTCACTTAGCAGACGTAAGAACAACACAAGCAAGGATCTAGACAAAAGGGAACAATGTGAGTAAGAGCAAACAATCAGCTTTGAGTCTGATTGGACACACAGGTGCTGACAGGAAGTGACCAGAGGCAAAGCACAACATTGAGGGCAGTTCTTGAGAGCTCTAATCAGTATAGAAACCATCTTATAAGTCGTCGTTATCAAACAAAAACCATCGTCACAACCATCATCATCATCAATAATATGGAGACCATCATCATTAAGTTAGGAGGTATTCATGAAAGAGCTGGGTCTTTAGCTTTTTCATGACTTGTTATATTTAGCTATGGGAAACCATACATGTTTAGAAATTGGTCAAAATTACCAAGAGGAAGATTCTTATGTATCCTCTGGACGAAACCATCCTTCTCTATAAATAACCGTGCCTGTTATTCTTGTTTCTAACAGACCCAGGCTGTTTTGAAAGTGTTTTGCTGTTTAGGAGTTTATATTTAACATGAGCAGACAGAGTGAATTCCAGCTCTCTCCCTCTCTGCGGCTAGCCGGGACCAGTGAAGCCAAAGCAGAGAAGGGTGCTGTGTGTCCTGCTGACCCACCCTGCAAATGAGAGGGTGCTGTGGTGCAGTGGCTGTGTCTAATTACTACCAAACAGCTGCAAACACATAGGGCTACAGCGAAAAGAGGCCCCAAGAGGGCTTGTCCCCTGCCAGGCCAGGGGACAAGCCCTACAGTGTGGGGAGGCCACAGGCAGCCCGCTGTGCTCCTCGCTACCCTCAGCTCACTCCCACGCCATGAGGCCCCCGCTGTAGCCCGGCGCTCCTGCTGCCTCATCAACTTCTCTGGCTGAAATTGCAGGGTGGCAGGGGAATCATGTCTGTAAATATGACCGCACTGACAAAGAAATGTCATGGTCCCTGTTCAGCTGGCGGGGACTTTAGGGAGGGAGGTATGTCTGTTTAGATCCATGCACACCATGACAGCTGCTGAACTCAGGCAAGGCAGGAAGGAAAGCAGAAAACGACTGTAACGTTCAGACAGGTACAGAGTGGACTGATTTATCAAACACAACAGAAGGATACAAGCAATTCAATGATTTAAGGTTCCAACTGATTTGATTCAATGTTCTTTGGTTAACTGTATTCAAACATTTACATAAGTGCTTGTGATGGAAAGACGGTTGCCTACATTAACAGCTAGCTAAATAACTCTCCATGTAGCTAGATGGATGGATATAGACGCTCAGAGAAGACAGACAGACAGATAGAGAGACATGTAGCATTGTGACACTCACCTGCCTGTTCCTCTCATCCATGATCCTGGTGATCTGTATCTTCTTCCGCCCCATGGCTGGGTCCTTTCTGTTCTCTCTGACACCTCGACAATATCAGAAAAACAACACAATTTCTTCCCCCACTCTCCTAGCACATTGTGCAACAGTCGCTCTTCTGGTTCACACTCTTTCTTCTTTCTTCTCGACACCACAATCTGCAGGTGGACAAAAAAGAAAGAAAGACAGAGATGGGTTAGAAAGTTAACTTGACACTCAACGACTCCTCGTACACTCAGCGCCTGTTTTCTGTTCTACAGCACATTCAGAAAGAGATCCACATGGTGTAAACTTATCATACAAGTATCAGCTTGTGGCTGCATATAACATCAATCAGAAACTTGATGTTAGTTACAGCCTGTTGTACACTGCAGCTGTAGACTTAGAAAAACAATATCTGTTACAAAGCGCTGTGTTTGCTCTTAAAAACTGAAGATATAGTTCCTAACAAACTCTCCCTGTTTGTTTTGTCTGGCTCTTTGTGCAGCCTGTGCAGACACACACACATCCACTACATGAATGAGGTGTGTGTGTGTGTGTGTGTGGGTTACAAAACTGTCAAAGCTCATATAAGTATAAAACTTATTGTTATAAATATAACAAAAAAGATTTTTAAAAGATTTCTGTATTACAGCAAACTTGTTATTAACAGAAATGTTTCTTTGTTTGCTAAGTTGTCCCTGATGGCTGGTAATAAATGAGATGAGATGAGATTCAACTTTATTGTCATTACACATATACAAGTATAGAGTAACGAAATGAGGTTTGGCATCTCACCAGAAGTGCAAATAAGCAGAAAGTGCAAGAGTCTGTGCTATGTACAGTAATTACAAAATTTACAGATGTAGACTAAAAAAAAAAAAGTGAATTATTAGGTATATATGGATGGCTGGATTAATGGGATGCTATAAATATAAATAAATGCTATAAATATAAGTGTATTTTTAGGATTATAATATACAGATTAAGGTGCAGTGAGCATGCTATACTAGTTTACAGATAATATAAAGAATATGGACATATTGTACAGGTCGATAAATACTGTTATTATATATTATTACAGTCTGTTGTTCTCAGATTTTTAAAAGCACTTTCTAAATAAAAAAAAAGAGATTATTATTATTGGAATTGTAGCATTCAGAATATAGTGAAGAACATTGAGGCTGTGATACAACACATGGAGATGCATTCAGATTTTCACTGCTGTTTAAACGCACAGTTTGACTAATGGCCAGCTGAGGAGAAGAAACATTTTATTGCGCATATCTTTCTTTTTTCTGTCCATCCAGAAAACTGAACATTAAATATCTTTGTTAGCGAAAACATTTAAAAATGGACCTGCATTGTTTTTGCACTTTAGATCCGATAAAAGACATTTTCCAGTCAAATATTTGAAGTCTTTATTTTAAAAAGTGTTTAAATATCTCCGTGTGTCGTTCATGAGAACCCAATATTGTGTATCTTTTTGTCTCGTGAGCGGAGTGTATCGTCACAACCCTAATATATTGTGATATTTTAATGAAGTTACGTTAACCTTCATAGAAAGTTTTTCTACCTAACCCTGCCCGTGAAAACACAGCAACCAATCCTCACTCTTCCTGAGCTGACACACCTTCATGCCAGCTTTGCCCTTAAGATGATTAAGAGAGCACCCAGTCTGGGCTGACAGTTGTTGAAATCTCCTGGGCTGGACGAGAAGCCATGGAGGGAGAGGAGGAGGAGGCATGGTGGGTGGGGGTGTATTCCCACATGAGCGTGTAACTTGGCCAGTGTTTGGATCATACTGGGCCCCAGGGAACATCTAACTCTGTCCTGTCTCTGCTTCTCTACAAGAAGAGATATAGCCCCCCTCCCTGGAGGCACATCCATCACTTAGACCCAGCAAATAGAAAATGTCTAAACAACTACATTTCCCTTGAGTATAAATGTAGAAAGGTTAACAACCCGGGCCATTAGATGCAGTCAGCAGTTGTGAAGGGAGGAAGCCAGGGGCCGAATTGGCAGTGAAAACGAAAATGACCAGTTCCAGTGGCACACAGTCATTATGGGTTACAGATGGACTGGCATTATGGTGTCTGGCTGTCTGAATCGGGGCTCCGCTGTAGAGAAAACTCGACTGAGATCACCTCGCTAACTACCCACGCACGGCTGTCTGAGCCAGGGAAGAAACCGCCCGATCCCCCGCAATGAATTTCCCCAAACCACATCACAACAGGCCAGGGAGACATTTGTTTGTTCACCATTTTCTAAACACTGACAAAGCAGCAGTCAGATAAGAAGGAGGTCAAGGGGGGGGGGGGGGGGGGGGTTCAACTCCCTGGGAATCCTACCTGACACATCCTCAGAGTGGAGGAGCAAGCTGCAAACTTCATGCTTTTATATCACATTAAAAAACTGAATGTGTCTCTCTATCAATTTGGTGCATAGAGGATTTTATCTGAGAAGGACAAATCTGTAATCATCAGTTTAAACTGGATCTGACCGCAACAAGTTCTGTTCATTGAGAGCATGTGAAGCAGGTGCTCACTCACCTTCAAAAAGGAAGGTGAGTGAGCGGTGTATCAGATACAATACATCTGAATTTACAATCACCTCCTCCAGTATTTGCTCAATCCAGACAGTCTTCCAAACACACACATAAGGAAATCTTGTCCTTTCTATACACAGACGAGCTGTCACAACGGGACTGTTCAACTCTTGAGGCACAAGAGACCGTGTCATGACTTTTACATCTATACAAAATGACAGGCTGAGAGGGCCTTCAGACTGCAGGTGTGCTGCTCTACAAACTCAGAATCCACATTCATCACAGGTTATTCAAAAGCTGAAACATCTTTCTGTCTAGACCTCTCTTTTTTAGTAATTACTCTAATCTAATACTGCGGTTCATTATATCACATCATACATCACTGTAGATCAAATAACACACATTTTATCACCGGAACGAAGTTGACACTTTCAGCTGGCACCTCTCAGCAGAGTGACATATCAGGAGATGGTCAGAGTGTTAAAAACAAAAAAAACAATGTGAGTACTGTGGCAGATATGTTAATGGATGACACTTCTCCAGAGTGTTAAGAGTAGGACTGAGCATCTGTTTGTGGCCTTAATCATGTGCTTCTCTTCTTGTGTGTGTGTGTGTGTGTGTGTGTGTGTGTGTGTGTGTGTGCATGTTTGTGTCTTTTTGGTAAGGAACGGAGACAAACAGATATACATGTCTACATGTCGCACCTCTATAAACATAATTCTGTAAATATTAGTTTGGGTCATTAAGCTTGTTTGTTCTAATAGTGCATCAAACGGGGGGGGAGGGTGTGCCAAAGCTTGAAGTTTCTATTTAGCCTTCGACTTTCTGTTTGTGCTGCACAACACTTGAATGCTAATATATATTTCTAAACACACAAAAAAAAAAAAAAAAAACGAACTGACAGGCTGGCGGGCTAATGTCATCAAAGATTTACTACATTTCACTTATTCAACAGTAAATTTACTCAAGGATGGAATACATTTGTAATATGTCTAACAAGGTTTAAATTGCTCCAGAAAACATGACGGATGTTTCAGCTCATAAATAGTTTCTCTGTTGGAGTGGATGAGTTCCACAGCAAAACATATTTAAGCCAATTTAAAAAAAGAACTTTAAGAAATTGGTCATTTCCACTACGATTTCATGAACCACAAATAAATACGCACAAATATTTACAAGTCAAAAAGTCCCAGCTGTGTGGAACATCTTTACCCACAGTTCCAAGGAGAATAATAGTTAAAGGTTTACAGCAGCAGAACTTTTCTTGTTTGGATAACATATTGTGTCGTGGGATATATGTAGCACAGCTTCTTATCATGTACATTTAAAAGACCTTGATATGATACACCTCGTCCTATTTAATGCTAACCAGTCCAGCACTTCTGAAAGTTGCTTACCAAAAGGTTTGCAGCACATAAATCAATGTTCATAGAGCACGTCGCCATAGGAACGACCACGTCGGGCCCGACAGAAAGTCAATATGACATGTCTAACCGAACGAGTCCCCGTCTTATACTGTACCTTCTGTTGAATACACGGGCAGTTCAAGAAACACATTATAAAAGTAACTCAGCGTTGCATCTGTTTTCTGAACAGGACCACTTTGATCCTTTGTGACGAGGTGTGAGACTGGCCAGGTGAAAGGAGGGCCAGTCTGCCTCCTCGTCCTCCCTGAAGACAGAGCATGGAGACACTGGGAGGCTCCGTGACAGGCCCAGCCCGGCCCTTTCACAATCAATAAAACATGCTCAATTCCCAGTGTAATTACTGGATCCAGCAGCACGGCCTCCTCCTTCTCTTGTTGTAAGCACTAAGTTGAGTCATTCCTCCCTTAACTGTTGTCCCATTTTAAAGGTAACATACAATTATAGAGTGGATCTATGTGCAGGGTCGAGCTAATGAGTAAGAAATGAGGCCAGTCTGTACGTCTGTAACATAATTAAACTGCATATCAACCGACTTTAAAGCCCTTTAAAGTTTAACAAAATGCATCTCAAATGTCCAAATTAAATCAAGTATAATAAAGTTTATTGAAAATGTTACGCTAGCACCCACTTGAAAGTGATGGACATCAGCCAAAGCCTGGAGCAGAGCCATGACAGTTGTGCTTCCTGTGCAGGCCAGCGTCAGTCTCAGTATCCTACCACAGGCCTGCGGTAGGATATCTCGAGACAAGACTCAACTTCCTGCCCCCTCCACTTCCTGTTATTCAGGACCCCCCTCTACATGCCCTCTGCAGGGGTAGTAAGAGGGAGCGACGGAGAGAAGGAAGAAAGGGAGGGACCACCTTGGGGACACCCTTCCCCTCTGATCCCTTCCCTTATTACCTTCCTGACTGTGAGTCCGAGACTAAACAACAACAGAGAGGCTCATCTCTTGTGACTTGGCTCTGTGTGCTTATTATGTTTACTGGAAGGATCATTACGCAGGCTGGACGCCATGCACATTAGCCACTTACTTTAAAAATGAGCAGGCACAGGCCTTTTTTCTTGTTATTCCATCATGCACTTGTTACATAAGAGTGGGTAACAGCTCTCCAAACACAGGTTCATATACATTGGAGGAACAAAAAATATCATGTCTGATACGATGCAACAGCGCGGTAATCTGATGCGCATTGGAACAGGGATT